TTTAGATTTTTCAGCACGTCCCGTAGGTACATGGTTGGAAACATTGGGAAGACCTTAGCCCTCGCCGGCCGAGGGGGGGCCGGGTGCCTCCCCCCCCCCATTGGTTTTTTTTTTCGCGATAGCTCCGAACAAGCTGGCGATAGAAAGCTAAAACTTGGCATACCTGACCTTTGATTCAAGCCGACACCAACCGCATCTTTTGACACCAACCGCATTTTTAGGTCAGGTCACTGACCTATGACGTCATAAGAAAACCACTGCACGGTCTTCAGATGTCGCAACTTCGCAACGCCCTCACTGCCAGAGGAGATGTCACAGGGGAATGAAACTTGCAGGATCTAGTATCCATTGTGAGTCTCACAACTTGTTTATCTCGGATTTTTCCTAAAGGTCATATGAGGTCAGGTCATTTTCGTGACCTCACCATTATAAGTCAATTGGGAAAAATGAAAACTGTTATTCTGGCGCCGGGAACGATCTCCAACTATCTCAAGCACACAGAATCGTGATTTGATGCACTCCTTGCAAAGTTAGATGCGTCACTTTTGCAATGTTGACCTTGCGTGACGTCATTTATGACGTCATCAAGGTCATATTATTTTTTCGTCAAAAACTCTTGATCAAATTGAGCTAGCGAGTCGGGAAAGCCACCAATGGACTCAGGAAGACCTGCCGAATCGAATGATATGCGACATGACATCTTTCAACTAACTTCGTGACCTGGGGCCGGGGGTGCTGACCTGACCTTGACCTGAGGTCAACACCCCAAGTTGACCTGACCCGAACAAAAAGTATACCATTCGACGCGCCTGAGCGAGGCAAACATGATGCTGCCAAAATCGCGGCTCTGCGGCCGTTTTTTGCGAAGTTATTCACCAAAAACTGAACCGTACCCTGGGGCACTTGACCTGACCTCAGAGGTCACCGGTTGACCTAGGACCTAAAAATCGGGTACCAATCTCTGCGTCTCGTAACGGCACACACGCTCGTTTTTTCTGCGACGCGCTAGCTCCACCAGGGGCGAAACGGCGACGCCCCTCGGCCGGCGCGTATGTAGAAAACCAATAGGTCCGGCGAGGGATAACTTCCCTTAACAGCTTCCCGATGCTCCCTAAATAGCTTCCCATTGGTTTCAATGGAGGCTGATGATACGCTGGCTTTTCCCAGACTTCCCTATCTTTATTTACTAGGGAAACATTCGGGATTTCGGAGCTTTCCCTGTTTGTTGGGTGCTGCCTTTCACTGCGCTATGACGTCATTTGGGGCCCGGGACGGCACGGGATGTTCCTCCCTCGCCCGCACATGCCATTTTCCCATCCTAGAACGCACATGGGGGGGGGGGTTGCCACCCCCCGCGCCATTTCTTTCCTGTTGGAGATAGAGCTTAGCGGTAAAGACCAAAAAGATTCTTTGGGAAGAAACGAATCCAATGATACCCAGTTTTACCTTCTCAGGTCAGTCATTGACCTTCCAGGTCAGGTCAAACTAAAAAATGTTGCTGTTTTGGGTCACCGTTGGATATCAAGTGCGCTGCTTATCAATACCGATGACGATGCTGTTTTCTAGTGCCAAGCCAGCTAGAACCTCTTTGTCACACTACCCGACCAGAATTTTGCTGCTGAGGTCATTTCAGGTCAAGTTAGGTCAAGGTCAATTATATGTGTTTGTATGTCTGTGTGTGTCTGTGTGTATACTGATGTGTGCACCGATTGTTTTTGGGTCCATATTACATGAAATCATGATCTGAGAAGCTTTTACCAAAAATGCAGTCAAAAACTTCACAAAAAGTAAATTCAGCTTGCCTAAAACGCAATTATCTTAGATGACCTAGGTTGACCTTGACCCTGACCTTGACCCCTGTACATCGTCGAACAACATGCTCCATGATAGGTGGGAGGTAAGACTGGCAAAAAATGCCGAAATCAGGGTGTCAAAAGCTCACAAGGCCCATGGCAAACGCAAGATGTTGAGAATTGGCCATTTGGGTCATGACATGACCTGAAAAACAAGGTCATATCTCCGAAACCAAAAATCACAGAAACTTCAAATTTTCAGTGGACATCAAGAAAGGATAGAGGAGCAGCTATACGAAAAATCAGCCCTATAGCTCTAAAAAAATGTTGAGTGCAGAGCAGAAAGACTACCTGGGGGTGGCAACCCCCCCCCCCCCCCCCATGTGCGGGCGAGGGATATAGCAGTAACGACCGCTCGGAAATATTCTGTCAGGGCTCGTGTTTTCATGGTGCTGCGGTGGCAACTAACAGGCTTAGGGATCTCGCGGAATGTCCGTGCCGTTCGATAGGATATCTATAAACGATCGGGAGTTTCTAAGCATGATGAATCTCGAGACTCAATGCCCAAACAACGTTAGGCGGTGCGGGTGGACATCGATAGCAGCGCCTCTAGCGGTCACTAGGGAAAGCTGGGCTGTAGGCGACGAAATACCGGCTGAGTTGTCAAACGTTGAATAGGTTTATAGACATCCGTCTTGTGAAAAAGGTGAACTTTTGCCTTCAATATTTCTACAGGCAATTTTAGAAGTGATCTTCACATCTAACAAAACCGTTTAGATTATTGTATTCACTTCAAGCCTTCCTTATTGTTCTTGACGATGATGCTGGAACTATTTATAATAAGTGTTTCTAGCTTAGTAAAAGAATATATTGCTCAAACGATGGAAAAAACATAATATGAAAATTTTAAATGCAATTTTCTCTAATAATTATTCGTACAATCTCTACACATCAAGGAAAATTTGCACACTAACTGATAATTCAAAGTTCTTGGGGCCAGATGTTTTCTTCTTTTCTTACGTCGCCTCAATGGCCGCAAATACACTTGTGATAACGCCTATCGAAGTACTGAGTTTTCTTGCGCAGCCACCTGGGACAAAATTGAATATCCCGCTTGAGATAAGAGAAAATTGCTGACTGGGGATGAAATCTGTCAGAAATTCACCTGGTGTGTCGTAAATCCAGTTTCCCTCCTTCAGGCCCAGTAAACATGCCGACGTCGGCCCGACGTCGGCCGACGTCGGGGTGACGTCGGCATCTCGGCATTGGCATGATGTCGGCCCGACTTCGGTCCAACCTCGGCACGACATCGACTGGATGTCGGGTATGCCCGCATGTACCGACGTCCAGCCGAGGTCCAGCCGACGTCGGACCGAGATCAATTGCTGAGGTGCAGCCGACGTCGGGCCGACGTCGGGGCGACGTCGGACCGACATCGGCCGCTGTTTTGACCGTTAAAATAATATAAAAAGCATGTTTCATGTTTCATAAAGAGCTTCTGTATTCAAAATATCCTCAGGAAACTCAAATCTTCCCCCACGCCGCAACCCCCTGATCCGGACTGGACGGGAAACTTTATCCCATTTGGGATTGTCCGTAAGCCGAGCTCGCCCGTAGCCGGGTACGGTGAGTGCTTGGGGGCTGCTTGGCCTATCCTTTGGTCAGGCTCAGCCCCGGCAACTCACCAGGGCCGGGCCCAGTTCATATAGAAAGGCCAGTCGGCAAGTGTCACTTTGCCAAAGTGCTACTTATCAAAGGGACACTTTGGGAAACGTTGGTGTAGGTGTGTTAAGGGTGGTTATATGAATCCATTTGTGGGGTCGCCCTTTCCAATAAGTGTCACGTAACAGCAATGGGACTCTATATGAACTGGACCCAGGGTGCTCGCCAAGAAGACCAATGCCTCCATCCTATCATCCTTCCGGCTCTGAAATGGTCTTGTCAGACCGAAAGGGCATAAACCAACAAAACAAACTAAATTCGTTATCTGGCTGCGTGGTGTAGTGGTTAAGCGCACAAACCGTGCGTTCAAATGACTCGGGGTTCGAATCCCATCGCCGGCTGATGCTTTTGGCGCGTTGTCCCAGTAAACATGCCGACGTCGGTCCCGTCGGTCCAACGACAAACGATCTCGTCAACCTCGGCAGACGACCTCGGCCCGACGTCGGCTCGACGTCGGCTGGACTTCGGCTGGACGTCGGTACATGCGGGCGTACCCGACGTCCAGCCGATGTCGGGCCGAGGTTGAACCGACTTCGGGCCGACGTCGGCATGTTTACTGGGGGGGGGGGTGATGTTAGCTGGTCTTAAACGATCAATTCCATGATCTTCACACGTAACCGAGCCGGTGTGACCCCTTCGTAGCTTCCTGGTTCATAAATGTCACTTATTCTTCTCGAAAAAGTTGATAAAGTTCCACAGGTCTTTTTGGGAGACTTTGGGAGAAGAAGATAGAGAGGCGTGCCGCTTAGATCATTAGTTCCAGCTCCAGAATCCGGTGGTACACGATGTATACCGTCCTCTCCTTCAACAGCGATCCTCTCCGTCCTCTCTTCAGTCCTCTGTGCTCTCCTCCGACAGCGATCACTGCCATCTATTGGGTCCCCTGCTAACCACAGTTTCTATCCGACAGACCGTGTCCGTGCGACGCCGCCATCTATCAGGTATCCTGCTCTGCTATCAACAGTCCCTGTCTGTGTCCGGCAGGCCTGCGACACCGCCAACACGGCCATCTATCGGGTACCTTGATTACCACAGTCTCTGTCTGTGTTCGGCAGGCGGAGTGACCGTGTGACTGCCATCTATCACAGGGCAGAGTGGCCCTGTGACGCCACCATCACTGCCATCTATCGGGTACCCTGCTAACCTCAATCTGTGTGCGGCAGGCTGAGTGGCCCTGTGATGCCGCCATCACTGCCATCTATCGGATACCCTACTAACCTCAATCTCTGTCTGTGTGCGGCAGGCCGAGTGGCCCTGTGACGCCACGCCATCACTGCCATCTATCGGGTACCCTGCTAACCTCAGTCTCTGTCTGTGTCCGGCAGGCCGAGTAGCCCTGTGACGCCGCCATCACTGCCATCTATCGGGTACCCTGCTAACCTCAATCTCTGTATGTGTCCGGCAGGCCGAGTGGCCCTGTGACACCGCCAACACTGCCGTCTATCGGATACCCTGCTAACCTCAGTCTCTGTCTGTGTCCGGCAGGCCGAGTGGCCCTGCGACGCCGCCAACACCGACGTCGATGTCGAGGCGTGCAGCTTCATGGCGCAGTTTGCGGTGCCCGACACTGCCCCGGAGATGTGGAGGAACACGCTGGCCGGCTCGTGCGACCTGGCCCGGGGACGCTGCAAGTTCCCCACCGTCCTCTCCTCAGACTCATCGGACGTGGGTGAGTCGCGGACTCGCGAGACCCACGGTCATAGATCGAGACCCGGAGTCGGGAGACCCGGAGTCGCGAGACCCGGAGTCGCGAGCCCCGGAGTCGGGAGCCCCGGAGTCGCCAGTCGTCAGAGCGCCCGACTCGAGACGTCTGACGCGGGAGCGCCCTAGTCGAGAGGTCTAAAGTACGGACGCGGGACTCGAGATGTGGGCATTTTAGAACACATTGTCAGGATGTGAACGTATGAATGAGCACAACGGGAGGTAGCCAGTCTCGTCTTAGGTGAGAGTTCTTTATTATGGGCGCAGGACCCCAGCTGTCGGTGTGTGTATGTGAGTCACCTGACTGACATTACACGCTGCGGTACTAGGCGTCACTGGCTCCCGAGGGTATGACATCACTGCTCCCTTCACTCCCCGCTAGTGCAGTTGGCTCGTGGCGCGTCCTGTACGGCTGCGGATGCTTCTTGTCCTTTCTCTGTGTGTCTGAGGTCCCCCTCCAGCGGTCAGGGGTTTCCCGTATGGAGGGCTGGCTCTTCGTGTCTGGCCCCGCTGTAGTGATGCACCCCTCCCCGCGGTCAGGTCCCCGCCGTATCGATGGCTGGGGTTTCCTAGTTCCTCTCTATGTGTCTGCCCCCTGTGATGTCTCCCTCTCCGCGGTCAGGTCCCCGCCGTATCGATGGCTGGGGTTTCCTAGTTCCTCTCTATGTGTCTGCCCCCTGTGATGTCTCCCTCTCCGCGGTCGGGTCCCCGCCGTATCGATGGGCTGGGGTTTCCTAGTTCCTCTCTATGTGTCTGCCCCCTGTGATGTCTCTGTCAGGAATGGCTATTCCTGCTCAGTGTTGTGTCCCCCCCGTTGTGTGGCGCTGGGTGCGCCTCTGCCCTTCTGTGGTGCTGGGCGCGCCTCTGCGTGTCTGACTGGCCGGTCGGCCGGTCGCCGCCGTCCGGCGCGCGCCGGAATACAGTTGGATAGCCGCGTCCGAGGCGTTTGGAACGGCGTGTGGTACGAGCCGGGCGAAGCCGAACCCACGGCTGGAATAGTGAGAGACACTGACAGTCTCTCTCCCCGCGCTCAGGTCCCCGCCGTATCGAGGGGTAGGTTTCCTGCCCTACCTCTCGATAACCCCTGTTTGTCTGACCTCCTGTGATAAACCCCTCCCCTTCCCGGCGGTCAGGTCCCCGACGTATCGAGGGGTGGCGCAGCGCCGGCCACTTCTTCTTCAGCTCGCCGGACTTTCTCTCGCCGCCGCCGGAGATCACCGACGCGTACGACGCCGGCCCCGCGACTACCGGAGACCGATGGAGATACGACTGCTCCACCTACGACGGCACCTCGACCGTGCTCACAGGTGAGGGTCGACCGTGCTCACAGGTGAGGGTCGACCGTGCTCACAGGTTAGATGTGGGCGGAGAAGAGCGGGGAGATGTAAAGGGGAGAGCGGGGAGATGTAAAGGGGAGAGCGGGATATGGAATTGGAGATATAGGGGATGAGAACGTTGAGATATAAAGGATGAGAACGGGGCTACAGAGACGTTCCCACTGAGAAGGGGAGGTACAGAGGGGAGAACGGGGAGGTACCGTGGGGCAGAACGGTGAAATACGCTGGTTTAATTGATGCTGGACATTTATAAATGTAACCACGCACACAATCCTTGTGTCAATTCCAATCATTTTGTGTGCGGCTACTCCGGTCTTCAGACCTGAAGATATCGCTGTCGTCTTATTTTTCCCAATCTCCCTGACCATGGTGGTGTCTTCCCCACCCCCACAAGCGCTCTTGGTGAGGGTGTCTCTCTGACGTCACTTCTCGCTGGCAGGTATACTGGGTGTGGCCCGAGAGGACAAATACGACAACAACATACCCCGCGACATGGACCTGATCCAGTGCACAAGGTTTTTGGACATCTACCTGCAGGTGGACCCGGCGGTCGGTGCCGTCCTGGACATCGCCGTCAATGTGAGAACTGCGCCGCTGCTGGGGGACGGGTGGATGGGGCACGGCCCTGGATATTGCCGCCAACGTAAGAGCCGCTCTGGGACAGGGATGGACATCGGCGCCATCTTGCATAAGGGCCACACCGCTGGGGCAGGGCATAGGGTGGGTCACCGGCCTGTGCATCGCCGCCAGTGCGAGGGCGACTACCGCTGACCTCCTGATTGAACTTCCCCACCGCAGGGCGACTGACCCCCTGACTGAACTCCCCCACCGCAGGGCGACTGACCCCTCCGCTGCCCTGCCGGCAGGGCGACTGACCCCTCCCCTGCCCTGCCGGCAGGGCGACTGACCCCCTGACTGAACTCCCCCAGCGCAGGGCGACTGACCCCCTGACTGAACTCCCCCACCGCAGGGCGACTGACCCCCTGACTGAACTCCCGCCCCCCGCAGGGCGACTGACCCTCTGACTGAACTCCCCCACCGCAGGGTGACTGATCCCCTGACTGAACTCCACCACCGCAGGGCGACTGACCCCCTGACTGAACTCCACCACCGCAGGGCGACTGATCCCCTGACTGAACTCCACCACCGCAGGGCGACTGATCCCCTGACTGAACTCCACCACCGCAGGGTGACTGATCCCCTGACTGAACTCCACCACCGCAGGGCGACTGACCCCCTGACTGAACTCCACCACCGCAGGGCGACTGACCCCCTGACTGAACTCCACCACCGCAGGGCGACTGATCCCCTGACTGAACTCCACCACCGCAGGGCGACTGACCCCCTGACTGAACTCCACCACCGCAGGGCGACTGATCCCCTGACTGAACTCCACCACCGCAGGGCGACTGACCGCCTGACTGAACTCCCCCACCGCAGGGCGACTGACCCCCTGACTGAACTCCACCACCGCAGGGCGACTGACCCCTCCCCTGCCCTGCCGGCAGGGCGAGTACCGGTGCCCGGCTAACCACGTCGTTACGGGCGTCTGGTCTCTGGACAAACACTTCCTGTCACCGGAGAAGGCCAAGTGCTCCCGGCTGGTCTCCGGCACGGTCAACGTAGACGACCCGGCCTGCGTGATGACCGGCAGACACGCAGGATCCAGCGTGGCCATCTACTGGTGAGTGGCGGAACTAGAACTGCCAGCTGCTGCCACCTACTGGGGAGTGGCGGAACTAGAACTGCCAGCTGCTGCCACTTACTGGTGAGTGGCGAAACTAGAACTGCCAGCTGCTGACACCTACTGGTGAGCGGCGAAACTAGAACTGCCAGATGCTGTCACCTACTGGTGAACAGAAGTGAACAAGTCCCGAACGCGACTATCGACAGCTGCAAATTGTAGTGATGTTTTTGTGAGAGTTAGCTTGGAGGTGGTATGCTTGCACTAAATCCCTGTGGCATGTATGTAGGTAGGTAATGAAAAGCTACTGAGCTTTATCAGTTACGAAGATATAGAAGTGCAATAATGGTGAGTTTGTCACATATTTCTTGCGTCGTAATGATAGAACAGGTATAACTAACTCAAAAATGTAAGTGCACCTTTAAGTCAGCCTATATGTATTCTGAAACTGGATACCGCGTTTTCTCAGGAACGCCTGCGTGCAAGATAGCGGACCGTTCGTGGTGACCGGTCTCCGGCTTAGTGACGTCACGGTGAACGCCGAGAGCAAGCAGTGGGAGCTGCGCTGCTGCCCGGTCACCGGTCCGGCTACCACCACCACAGTGTCCTAGGTCACTCCAAGATGGCGGCCGTCCTGCTGCCCGGTCACCGGTCCGGTTACCACCACCACCGTGTCCTAGGTCACTCCAAGATGGCGGCCGTCCTGCTGCCCGGTCACCGGGCCGGCCACCACCAGTCTTTTATATCTATGGCCATTGGCCACCACCGTTTTGTAGGTCACAGCAAGATGGCGGGCATCCTGCTGCCCGGCCACCATCGTTTCGTAGGCCACAGCAGGATGGCGGCCATCCTGCTGTCACCACTGACCAGGAGTATGTGAGCAGAGGAAATGCTTATTACAAACGGATTATGATGCTGAGCGAATAAGAAAATCAGCTCGTGATTATGCATTTACTTGCTCATTTATTCAAGGTTTTGGCTATTAGGTACACTAATCACCACGCAGCATGAAGTAAAGGTAAGGATTATCAATTATCATGAACAACATGGAATGGACCGAAACAAGTTGGTGATAGTGGTTTCAGGTTTGGACTGAACGTGCCTTTTATTGCGATATTTGAATATCAGCAATGTTAGTTTTTTTGGCAACCTTTTGCCATTGTGTGTCCTTGTCTGAAATGTCTATGACACTGGCACTGTTTACCTACTCTTTTTCTTTTCTTTTCTTTTTCGTTGAGCATTAGCTCTTGCCAGATTCTATTCATGTAACTTTATTTGGCCCCTGTTCGCCTGAGTGCACGTTTGATATGAAAGAATTACCTATATTTAATTTCGGCTGCAATTGAGTAATAAAGCAATCATTGTTTTGACTTTTTGACTGAAAAATAATGGGACAGCTGTGGACATCTGAGACATTTACTGTTTACAAGAGCACGTCTGAGTCTGTCCCGGCGACAAACAGCTGAGTCTGTCTCGGTGACAAACAGCTGAGTCTGTCTCGGTGACGATTGTCGACGGTCGGTGAGTGTGACGTAACGATAGATTGAGCCAGCAGCTGGCGGCTCTTGTTGCTGAACTCGTCGAATTCTGTGATCTTAACCTTCGCCCCAGTGGGGGGGGGGGCATATGTTACCACCCTGTCGCGTTTTTTTCGTATAAATAAAAAGCCGCGGCGCGTAGCGCCGCGCCGCTTGGGGTAGCTTTTGGTACATCAATTTTGGACAATGTGTGAAATTTTTGACCCCAGGTCATGTCAGGTCAGGTCACAAGGTCAAGTTAACTGACCAAGCCTAAAAAAAGTTTGCAATCATATCCAGCCTGCAGTGTTTGTCAGAGAGGTTTCAAACTTGGTGGATTACATGATGTTATGGGTGCCTACAATTTGTATATCTCGGATTTTTTATATGCGTGACCTAAGGTCAGGTCAGTGGCGTGACCTTTCCATTATAAGTCAATGGAGAAAAACGAAAATGCCTCTAGATCCGCGTGTACGCATAGGAACAGTCCAAATATTTCAGGATAACAATGATTTGGACCATCCGTGACGACCAAGGTGTCTTTTTTGCTGATAGCCTCTTGAAAGGTCATCCGAGGTCATTTGAGGCTACAAACAGTTTTTTGCCAATAACTCTCGATTGGAAAGAGATAGAACGCTGGGGTTGGCCTCATTGTGTTTGTCTTGCCGAGACGCATCGACTGATATGCAACATGACCTCTTTCGGTCAGGTCATGACCTTGACCTGAGGTCAAATTTTGAAGTTGACCTTTCAAGGTCAACGTATAGTTCATTCGACGCGTCTCGGCGAGAGGAACACGATTCTGGCATTAGAAATGACCTAGCTTTTTTTAGTCAAAAGTTATTGTCGAAAAACACTTTTCTTAAAAACAGCTATTTTTGGAGTTTTTGCCCTCTGGAGGCTAAACCGTTGACCTGAGGTCATTTTTGATAATGACCTTATCAAAAGAAGCGTTTAAAAGCTATCGATTACTTTTCCCAGCGTTTTTCTAGCTATCATAGTTCCTGAGATAATGGCATGTTTTCTGAAAAATATAATGACAATTGGCAAATTTTGACCTTTGATGACCTCTGGTTACCCCAATATTGCTCTAAGATGAAAAATGACCGAAATACTTTCAAACGTACGCATCAAGAGCTATCGACTGCTTTTCACCGCGTCTTTCTAGCCCTCTTAGTTTTTGAGTTAGAGGTGGGTGGTAACATATGCCCCCCCTCACTAGGGCGAAGTTGGCGGAGACCGCCACTGGGGCGCGGGTTAATCGCATTGAAAGTTTCGCGGAAGGGTTATTGAACTGATTGTACAGCAGAACTCACATATCAATTTTCACCTTTATGTTGCGCTCTGCTGAGCTATGGTGTATGAAAAATAGCACGCATCAAGCAATGATTTGGTAACAGCGGTGGGGTGCGTGACTCCTGAGCTATGTAGGTACAGTAGGTCTACTAAAAAAGTCCCCGGCTCCAGAGGCGGCCGGCCGGCCGAACCCCCGGATTCCAGCCCCGACTCTATTGCGCAGGCCGCGGCAGTGACACGGGTCAGGTCGCGGCGCCCGGCGAGTGGGTCAGTTGGCGGCGGCCGGCCGTGGAGTGAGGACGCCGTGTGTGGGGCGCAGAGATGCCGCAGTGCAGAGGAGGGGAAGATAGTGACTCAGCACGATGCCGGAAACGATGCCGGAAACGATGCCTTTGTGATCTAAATTAAACACCTGCACTGCAGTGCATATCCTCCCTTGCCCCATTCCTATTATATCGTAATCCTTCAATAATCCGTAATGACCATTCAACGCAAGCAAGCAAACAAAACAACCCGTTTAGTGGCGACATCATCTCAGATAAAAAAGCGACAGTGATGATTAGAATTGACTTTGCGCGAGGGCAAATCGAGGGGTATATATGTATCATATGCCGAGTATTTTATTTCCATCTAGCAAATTAAGATTGGGGATCTTGTCCAACAAGTCAGCGGCCGTTCTAGACACGGACAAATGCTTTGTTTTCGGTCGCATCATTATCTGCAATAATTCGAAGCGAGGTTTAACCCTCGCCAGCCGAGAAGAAGGGGTGGATGCCGCCACCATGCATTTTTTTGCGGTAGCTCAAAGCACACTGATGATAGAAGGCTGACATTTCATATGCCTTACATTTGATTCAAGCCGGATCATTTAACCACGTTTTCATGTCAGGTCACTTAACTATGACGTCTAACCTCTGTAAACTGCACGGTTGTCGGTTATAAAATGATGCAAATCCATAATGCACTTAGTGTCATGATATAAGCATAATGGGAAAGTATGGAAACTGTTAATTTGGCGTCGGAAATGAGCTAAAACTATACCTCATGCACATGAAATCGTGACTTCATACATTCTTGGCAAGGTTTAATGCTTCACTTTTGCATTGTTCACCTTGCGTATCGGAGTGCTCGTCAATAGGAGTGCTTCGTCAATAACTCCCGATCAAAATGAGCTAGCCAGTCGGGACAGCCATCAATGGACTCTGCAAGACTTACCGAATCAAATGTTACGCAGCATGTCCTCCTTTCAACAGCTTCGTGACCTGTGTTGCCCTAACATGACATTGACCTAAACATCCTAAATTGCTTCACCTAAGCAAAAAAGCATATAAATCGACGCGTCTGAGAACACTGAACAGAAAACACGATTGTGTCGAAATGACGATAATGCGACCTTTTTTTGCTAAGTTATTCACCAAAAACCGATCCAATGCCTTGGGGCCCTTGACTTGCCCTAAGAGGTCACTGATATTTTAAAATGGGGTGACAGTCGCTGCGTCACGTAACGACGCAAGCGCTCGTTTTTTTCCGCGAGGCTCTAGCAATTAGCTCAATTATAGGAGCTAAACATGGGGATGGGGAATCGCTCCCTTCTCACTCACTATTTGGCCGGGATAGTGTTCGCAATTATTGTTAAAATCTAATATTTTAAGATTTCAAATGATCCATTTTTCCCGCCCAAGTCTTTCAATTCAAGGTCATAACACCAGGTCACGTCAAGTGACCTTACCTCAAGGAAAGTTCCTGTGCTCATCATATCTAAATACATCGACTAACCGATCGCTTTAGAACCTTCAGTGATTTCAATGGGCAACAGTATATGTATTTGAAACGTTTACTTTGCAAGTTTGACATTGCTGACAGAAAGGTCGGGTCAATTTTGAGATCGTTAAAGTCAATGGGAGAAAGTTGAACTGCGCTTTTTTTGGACGGAACGCATAATAAACACTCTGAAAACATGTGGTGCCTGATGAGATACAATTCTGAATGAGAAAATTGTTTGTTTTGTTGGGAGCCATCTTTTTCGGCCTGAGAAGGTCCTTGCAGAGCTATGACATAACTATGCTCTGGTGTAGTAATTTGGTTGTGCGAGCCAGCGACAGTGATCTGCGGACTCCGGAAGCGTGACTGTTCCCGTGGGACGATTGCCCTGTCGGGCGGTGCAGCCGTCTCCCCAACGGTCACCCGAAGAGGGTTATGTGTCTTGGAATGGAACCGACATCAACTACAGGTTGGCTGGTGGGGTGACCTCCACTGTCCAGAGAGGGAAGCATGAAGACTAGGGGCGATGCGGATTGGTTTTTCCTGAGGATAGCGAGGACGGAAGGAATCTAGCACACTTGACCCTTCCTTATACTGAATGTATCTCAGGCTTTTAAATCTTCTAAGCGTTTTTTTCTCGACATCGTCAAGGTGCCATTAATAAAAATATGAAATCCGGGAGGATAAATTAAATATAGAAATTGTGGCCAACAGATCATTATCAGTTGCGTTCAACATAGGTACTCGTAAGCATGATCACACACCCAGCTTACACATGAGCCATGTAATAAATATTTTTGATAGACATGCTTAAGTTATGAAATCATCTAAAGTGTTAGTAAAGTTTCACGATACGGATCTAATATCCTGCTATCCATCATGACCATTTCTGGTCAGGTCATGTCTTTTAACATAGGCATGTCTTTGAACATAGGCCAAATTCTTCAAATGACCTCCCTCGCCGGCACAGGGAGGGAGGGAGGGTTGATGCAACCCCCCTCCAAGGTTTTTCGCGAATAACTCGCGTAAAAAGCGGCCGATCGCGACGAAACTTTCAGTACCCTCGCATTGATCAATCTTACACCTACCCTGAAAATTTCATGACCCTGACCCAAATGACCTTTGACCTGTGGGCTGTGACCTCTTTTCCGAGACCATGTTTGGCCGGAATCGCGATTCGGCGTATGTCGGCTCGCATTAGCCGCGCGTTTGCAAGCTTTCGTGGTTTCAAGCGTTCAGATTTGATGTTGCTCCGATGCATTAGGGTGGGTGTCAAGATCACCTGAAGGTCAGGTCAGGTCATTGACCTTTGGTGACCTCGGTTCACTTTTTCGAGTTTTACATGTTTCTATGCCAGTTTTTGGAGCTGAATTCGAATTTAGCAACCATTTGAACATTTACGAAGTTAGTTTTGGTAACTTCGTAACATGTTACGAAGCTGTCAGAGGCGGATGACAGGTATTACGAATGCCCGTCGTGACCCCTACCGGTTGACCTGACCTGACCTGACCCGACCTGGTCTAAATGCTTTAAGACATCATCTCTGATCAAAACTAGCACGATATTCGTGATCAGCACCCCGGAAAACCGCATAGCAGCCACACTTTACGACTTTCTAACAGGTCCCCATTTTCCCGATTTTCGGGTCATTGACCTGACCTGAAAGGTCACCCGATGACCTAGGACCTTAAAATTGGGTATCATCGGCTTCCTCTCGTGACGGGCAGCACGCTCGTTTTTTCCGTGAAGCTCTAGCTCAATCAGGGGCCAAGCGCGAGGGGGGGGGGGTCGTGCCA